ACAGGGAAATTGACTGCCTTTTATACACGGTATTACAAGAATGGGGAAGGCGATGTGCAGGATGCATTTTAGTGCCATCACAGACACACACTGGACATCTTATCTCTCCAGCACCACCCACTTCCCCAAAACTACACTGAGAGTGATGCTCCAAGACAGGAGTGAGGATCCTCAGGGCTGGAAGCCAAGTGTGGCCCCCCAAGCCTTTCAATCTGGCCCTTGGGAGTCTTCCCAGACCCCCCTTCCTATCCCCTTACTGACCCTGCTTTGCACTTTCCTTGAGCATTTACCCTAGTTGGAATGAGTCCTTGCACTCTGATAATGCTTCTTCCTTGCTGCATTGGAAGGTACAGAGGAGTTTACAAGTATGCGTAGAAATTAGCCTTCTTACTGACAACCAGTCCAGGAGGTGGCACTGCCTGTAAGCTTCCACCTCCTTAGTCTTGGTGTGGCCCTACAACTCAGCAGGGAGGAGAAGGAGGAGGATGGGGAGAAAACTATTGCAAGTTGGCTCTGCTTGTCTTTGGCTCTGGCTTCAGCTACTGACGGGCTCCCTGTCTTCTGCCCTACCAGTCCCAATGGGCACCAGCCACCACTTCCAGTGTGCAAAGATGAAATTCACACATTTGCTCTGCCCACTATTGCTCTGGCCCTGCCCACCCCTAGTATGTGGCTCTCAGATGGTTGCTCAGTAAAAATACAATCCCTTGGGTTGGGGAAAAAAGTTCCTTTCCCCCTGCTCTAGGACTCCAGGGTGCTTCTCTGGTGCATCTGGTCACACTGAGACAGCGATGAAATTAAATGCAGCCTAGAAAAGTTCCCATCCCCTTTTGTGAAAAGGATGGAAACTTTTCAAGACTGCACTGCATTTAAAAGGGGGGGGGGTGTATTTCTGCCTCATTCTCTGGATACTTTATTATTTCTTTAGAATCACAGTGGCTGTGTGGTTGAGCTTGCCTGAGCATTATGAGGTGGCTGTGAGTGGTTTTTCCTCTTTCCATTAATCTCTGCAGTCTGCTGGCTCCTCAGCTGCCCACAGTTCCTGATCCCTAAAAGGTCCCATTAAGGGAAAAATTGCTTCATGGCATAATTCTTTGGGTTTCAGTTGAAAAGTGGCAAATGGGATGACCTGAGATTGGTGCACTTCCTGATTTTCTTTTAAGAGAGAGGTGATTTTTTAAAAAACAAAACAAAACAAAAACAACATTTTTAAAAGACCAGGCTTCTTTAGTGGAAGCCACGTGCTCTAAATACGCTTTAAGTGTGTGGTGTGGATGTGACCTCTATCATTTTATGAGTCTTCATCTTCTGAAATATCATGTATCCCTATGGGCATGGCACAGCGTTGTGGCATCTTTCAGAACACTTTCAAAGCTTTGCTAATTTTTGCATATGTACTGACCAAGGTTTGTAAGGTAAAAGGTAAAGGTACCCCTGCCCGTACGGGCCAGTCGTGTCCGACTCTAGGGTTGTGCGCCCATCTCACTTAAGAGGCCGGGGGCCAGCGCTGTCCGAAGACACTTCCGGGTCACGTGGCCAGCGTGACAAGCTGCATCTGGCGAGCCAGCACAGCACACGGAAATGCCGTTTACCTTCCCGCTAGTAAGCGGTCCCTATTTATCTACTTGCACCCGGGGGTGCTTTCGAACTGCTAGGTTGGCAGGCGCTGGGACCGAGCAGCAGGAGCGCACCCCGCCACGGGGATTCGAACCGCCGACCTGATTATCGGCAAGTCCTAGGTGCTGAGGTTTTACCCACAGCGCCACCCGTATCCCTTAAGGTTTGTAAAGCATTCCTTAAATCAAGAGTTTTCACAATCCCTTCTCCCTGGTCAATATTAGCAGTCTTGTTGGGAGACTGACAGTTGTACAAACCTCTGGCACTGTAAAAAAACCCCATTGTTCTGGTTAGTGTATGTAATGTAGATAATTAGACTTAAAAAAAAAAAAGGATTCTGTAGGCGGAAAAACAACTGTACCCTGTCAACCATCAACCGTTAAAAATAACTGACAGGATGCACCTGACTGTAAAAGGAGTATGCCCACGCCTTTTGAGAGGAAAGAAAGAAAAGTAACAGAAGGGGAAGGGGAAGCCCTGTGCAACGCATTATGCATTCATAATGCATGTGGACTTCCTCACATATTGTTTGTATGTGGGTGAGGAGGTGGGTGGACCAATGGACAAAAAGATACAGAGACAGCCAGACTGACAGTCAGATAGATAGATAGATAGATAGATAGATAGATAGATAGATAGATAGACAGACAGACAGACAGACGGAGGCATGATAGAGGTATAATTAATTTTACATCGTGTGGAGAAAGGGGATAGAGAAAAGTATCTCTCTCTTAACACTGGAAATTAGGGACATCCACTGAAGATGACGAGATGGCTGGACAGTGTTCTTGAAGCTACCAGCATGAGTCTGACCAAACTGTGGGAGGCAGTGGAAGACAGAAGTGCCTGGCGTGCTCTGGTCCAGGAGGTCACGAAGAGTCAGACACGACTAAATGACTAAACAACAACAACAACAACAACAACAATGAAGATGAATCTTGGAAGGTTGAGGACAGACAAAAGGAAGTACTTCTTCACACAGTGCTTAGCTAAGCTATAGATTTTGCTCCCACAAGAGGCAATGATTGCTACCAGCTTGGAGGGCTTAGACAAATTAATGGCACATGAGACCAGCAGCAGCTACTAATCACAACTACTACGTTCTTCCTCCACTGTCAGAGGCAGTATGCTTCTGAATACCAGTTGCTGAGAATCACAAGCTGGGAGAGAACTGTTGTACTCAGGTTCTGCTTGCAAGTTTGCCATAGGCATCTGGTTGGCCAGTGTGAGAACAGGATGCAGGACCAGAGGCACCATTGGCCTGATCCAACACATTTTTCTTATGATTGGACTTCTTCAGGTGCCCTCATGGAATAAAAAAGTGATGAGGGAGGTGAAATCAAAATGTTTTGCTATATCATAGGTAAAGGTAAAGGTACCCCTGCCCGTACAGGCCAGTCGTGTCTGACTCTAGGGTTGTGCGCCCATCTCACTTAAGAGGCTGGGGGCCAGCGCTGTCCGCAGACACCTCCGGGTCACGTGGCCAGCGTGACGAAGCTGCAGCTGGCGAGCCAGAGCCGCACACGGAAACGCCGTTTACCTTCCCGCTAGTAAGCGGTCCCTATTTATCTACTTGCACCCGGAGGTGCTTTCAAACTGCTAGGTTGGCAGGCGCTGGGACCGAGCAACGGGAGCGCACCCCGCCGCGGGGATTCGAACCGCTGACCTGACGATCGGCAAGTCCTAGGCGCTGAGGTTTTACCCACAGCGCCACCCGCGTCCCTTTGCTATATCATACCCTCCAACATATCCCAGAGGTAAACCGGGACTCGTGTCTTTCAGGGCCACGATGTCGTGTGAGATCTGTGTGACTTTCACAGAGTTGTTATTTGGTCTCAATTTATTATAAAAAAGTATTTATTGTATACGCTGCTGTCCTCAAGGCAGCTTACCAAGATATTCAAAATCAAAACGCAATCAAATTAGGGAAGGCAGGGCTCACTGGAGAGCCAGTGTGGTGTAGTGGTTAAGTGCGATAGACTCGTAATCTGGGGAACCGGGTTCGCGTCTCCGCTCCTCCACATGCAGCTGCTGGGTGACCAGCTGCTGGGGGACCTTGGGTCAGTCACACTTCTCTGAAGTCTCTCAGCCCCGCTCACCTCACAGAGTGTTTGTTGTGGGGGAGGAAGGGAAAGGAGAATGTTAGCCGCTTTGAGACTCCTTCGGGTAGTGATAAAGCGGGATATCAAATCCAAACTACTACTACTACTACTACTACTACTACTACTACTACTACTCTTCTTCTTCTTCTTCTTCTTCTTCTTCTTCTTCTTCTTCTTCTTCTTCTTCTTCTTCTTCTCACACGCCTCCCAGTTGTGTAGAGTTTCAGCAAGTGAAGCCTCTGTGTCACTCCTGTTAAACGTCCAGGACACCCCTGTCCTCTTTCGCCTCCCCAAATCAAATATTAAAAACCACAGGAAAATAAAAGGGCAATAAATAACAAATAACAAGGCGCTCAGCTGACAATTAAGCACCCCACCTCATATAAAAACAGCAAATCTGTCCATTAAAGGGGGATCAAGTCTCCTGAGGGGCTATAAAGGTCATTACAGTATTACAAAGATTACTTCTTAAGAGGGAACAAGTTGCCTAGGAGAACTGTAGCTGAGGCAAAGCAAGTGTGGAGCTCATAAGAAACCAGGCTGAAAGCCCCCATGATAGAGTGGGATATATAAAGTATAATAAACACTAACTGGAAGTAAAGGTTTAGTGTGTTTGTGGCAAGTTTCTCTTAGTTATAAAAAGCAGTGCTTCTGTGAAGGTACTTTATTTCTGTGGTTAAGGATATATAGGCTGTTGTGGGCACAGGGGCCAACTATAGGGAGCCCTAAGGGCCCAGGCACCTACAATTTTTTTGTGGGTGCTCAGCACCCACAGTGCGGGCTCTGATGTGACTGCCAGGCAAAAACGTTCCTTTTTAAACAGGCCTTTGGTTGATTTGATTGACATCTTACGTCCATTTAAAATGTGGAGGTTTCTTGTGGGGGGAGGGGTGTTACTGGGTTGTTGTTTTTATTTTGATTATATATACAGTGGTACCTCAGGTTACAGACACTTCAGGTTACAGACTCCGCTAACCCAGAAATAGTACCTTGGGTTAAGAATCTTTCTTCAGGATGAGAACAGAAATCGTGCTCCGGTGGTGTGGTGGCAGCGAGAGGCCCCATTAGCTAAAGTGGTACCTCAGGTTAAGAACAGTTTCAGGTTAAGAATGGACCTCCAGAACAAATTAAGCTCTTAACCTGAGGTACCACTTTACTGTAGTTTTTATGTTTATCTTTTCTGTGTACAACCCTGAGACCTCCGGGTATAGGGCAGTATATAAATTCAACAAACAAACAAACAAACAAACAAAAACAAACATAATAGGGATGTGACATGGGCAGGGAATGAGGCAGAACTAGCAATCCATGTCCTTCCTCCCCATCATAGCAATCTTTGGGGTGTTGAGAGGATGGCAAAATAAGGCTTACGTTTTTGTTGAACAGTGGTGAAGAGAACACAGTGCTCTTGCCTTTTTTCCTTAAAACTGTTATTTTATTCATGTATGTACATGTTTGTGTACACAATTATGCAGATATAATCAACGAATCTACAAATAAAATGCATATGTTTCACAGGGAACATTCCCAATGGAAATCAGTAGGATTTGCTTCTGAGGAAAGGGGCATATCCTTGGCCGGCATACTTTTTTTTAACTAGGTGACTACCTTATTTATTCTCCAAATGTCATTGTATCATAAGATCATAGAATTGTAGAGTTGGAAGGGGCCACAAGGGTCATCTAGTCCAACCCCCTGCAATGTAGGAATATTTTGCCCAATGTGGGGCTTGAACCCACAACCCTGAAATTACTATAAGAGTCTCGTGCTCTATCAGCTGAGCTAGTCTCCCACACAGAACTGCAGAAGCTGCTGTATGGGGGTTAGCAGGTGATGGGCTGCAGCCTAGTGGTGGAGCCTCAGCTTTGCATATAGAAAACCCCATAATAAATCCCTGAGCTCTCCAGGTAGGAATGAGAAAGAACTCTGCCTGTAATCCTGGAGAGCTGCTACCAGTCAGTGTTGATGATACTGAGCTAGTTTTCTATCTTGCTTTATCAGGGAAAGTGTCATAGCTGAATATATGTTCAGTCACTGGCATCTCCAGGTATGAGTTAGAATAAAGATTCCTGCTTGAGACACTGGGCTGGATGAACATGCAGTCTGAGTCACTACTCTTTAGTGAGTAGCTCTGTCTTTAGACAGTTCTTGTGTTCTTTGGTTGACAAAAACCCAATTGGCTGTTTTCCCTTATACAATTAACAATAAGTTAGGTGAGGCAGAGTGCCCCCATCATCATAGCCCCCCCCCCCACTTTTCACATACTGGGGACATGCCTGTTGAAATGACGTCGTCAAGTTTTGTAGGATCTTCTTCTCTTTCAGTCTCCCCCTTGGTGTCAATGGCGTAGCGTGAGTTTCCAGTTCCCATGGCCACATGAAGGGGGTGGGGGTGGGGAGGGGAGGGAAACGAATGGAGTATGCATGCACATTCAACTGCATAAGGGCATCCGTGTCACCCAGGAGATTGCAGCCACAGAGATAAAAAAAGAAGAGTCATTCTGTTGTATAGAGAGGTCACTTTCTGGTTCACATGGAGAATTCATTTTCAATGGACCCCAGAGACAGAAGCGCTCACCTGTATTGAGGCAACACCGGGTGTTGAAATTGTGCACTCCTAAGAATTTTGAGCCCAGGGCGGTCCTCTCCATGCTATGCGTGGACTCCTGACTGCACAAGATGATACAAAGCGAGATGGACGAGTCATGTGGCTCTGTATACAGCTTCTGACTATGGCTCCTTGAATGATTAGAAGTCCAACTTATTTTATTCCTTAACAGAAGAAGCACTTTCTCTGCTCATCAGACGACTCCTGATGGCCAAGCTGCTGTGTCTTGACACCTGACCCTTGAATTCTGATGTTGTGAAGAAATAGAGGATTGGATCTAAGCAACAGTTAAGACTTGCAAGGCTTAAGCAGAAAGGGTGCAGGTGCAGGATAAACCAGCGTGCGCCGCAGTCTCTGATAACGTCCTCTTTCACCATCATAAAGAAGAAAAACACAATGTGATATGGCGTGAAACACACGAAGAAGACAATGGCACACGTAGCAACCATCCGTAGTGCCTTCTGCTTCTCGGTAGTGTTTTGCAGAGGGATATGGCATTCTTGGAGGGAGGCTTTTGTCTTCCAAGTGCAGTAGACAATGGTGATGAGAGGGGTCAAAAACCCAACAATTTCAGCCACTAGCACCAACAGAACTGAGCTGACATGGCTGCCTATTTTCTTGACGCCAAGGTCGGTAAAGCAAGTATCATTGCTGTTTGAACTTCTCATCAATGGAAATGGCAAGCAAGCAGCTCCAACAAAGATCCACACAGCAACACATATGGCCACGTCGTACCTCCGTTTCCACCCTTTGGCCCTGAATGGATGGAGAAGGAAGAGGTACCTTTGAACGCTGATGCACGTAAGGAAGCAAATGCTGGCATACATGTTAAGATACTTCAGATAGAAGCAGAGCTGGCAGAGGAAGGTTCCAAATGGCCACTTGTAGTTGATGTAATAATATATCCGCAGAGGCAAGGAAAGGACTTGAATGAGGTCAGCAGTGGCCAAATTAACCATGAAGATGATGTTTTTGTTTTGCTTGCTGATGAAGCGGCATAAAATCCACAGGGCCATGCTGTTGGTCAGGAGGCCTGGGATGAAGACGATGGTGTACGTCGCTGCATAAAGGGAATGCTGGAACTCTTTTCTGGGTTCTGTGCAATTGTCTGTTGCACTAATGCTCTGCAGCAGCAGCACAGCTGCACTCCCATTAGAGGCAAAGTGAGATGAAAGGGGCACTTCTTTGGAAATATTTACCCTGTTTTTTAAAAAAAACAGAAGCAAAAACAAGTAGTGTAAGGTTTCCTGTTTTCATTATTGCGAAAAGACACAGTATTGTCTTTGCATTGATTTACAATGCTTTAAAAAGCACTGGACTAATACTCAGTCATACTGAGCAGGGAAAGTTTGACCACAGTAGATCATACATTGGTTTATTCAAGACTGAATTATTGCAATGAACTTTATGTCGGGATTCCCTTGTTTTTGATTCAGAAGCAGCAGTTAGTGCAGAATTCTGCAGCAAAATGACTGGCAGTACAGGTGCCCCCTCCCCTGCAGATTCACACAGAGAAGAACCAATGAAACTCTGTTTTTGGCGGCGGCGGCGGCGGGGGGGGGGGTAACCTGAGATTATACTGGTAAAATGGGAGGGGCGTCCCTAGATATTGCTGAAATTTTACTCACCTCTATGTATTGCTGCAAATCTTATTTGCACTGTAAACAAAAACAACCGATTCCTGGTCTGTTTCCACCCACGGAAATAACTCTTGCACATAACCAATTCTCAGCTATTGTCTCCTGCAATTGCTCAACTCATTCCCTCTTAGCCTCTTTCATCACTTTTCCTTTGAATCCTCACCTAGTTGTGTGCTCATATGTTTTCATTAAGTCACTCAGAAATTTAGTAAAAAACACACGAGAACAACTGATTTCTAGCTTCAATTTTACATGAAGATGTCTCTGGAGAAAATAAAGCTTAATGCAGTTTACAAAAGGACTCTGGGTTTTCTCCATCCTTGGAGAATTAAATCAGTGCTTCTAATGTAATTAGGGTTGGCCCAGAAGATCAATAGCATATGTAGGTTGCTGGCAAAGTAGTTGTGTCAGTGGCTGACACAGGATTGGCCCTACAGTACCATTTAGGCAGAGTGAAGAAGCTGCCTTGGGCGGCAGGCGCAGGTGGCAGGTGTAGGGGTGGGGATGGAGCTGTGTGTGCCTTGTGGCAGGCACTGCACCCCCAAAGTTAGCCTCATGTCCTCAGGTGTGGTGGAGGGTGCTGTCTCAGTGCCAGGGCTGAAGGAAGATTCACTTGCCAATCTGGTCAGCTTCAGTACATGGAATTGTGTACATCAGGCAGCCTAATGTCTTGGGCTGACCCTGCTGACCCTTGTTTCTCTCTGGGCATTCAGCCTGTTCACATATGAAATGAAGTGAGGTAGGAGGGGCTTCCTTTAGCACAGATGTATCCAGCCTGCGGGCCAGATCCTTACCTAGCCTGCACAGGCCAAATTCAACAGATGGGCAGGTTTGCCCTCCTGTCTATCACCTGATGTCACAATAGCATCAGCTGCCTACACGTAGGCAAACAGCTACTTATTAGGGCCCGGAAACAAGTCACATATGACACTGTGCCAGCCTTAATGGTCAGCTGCTTGCTGCTTGCAAAGAGCATTGCACAGAGCTTTTGCAACCACCAACAACCAGCCAGTCATTATTAGGAATTGCAAAGTTCTGTGTGTAGGGCATTGCACAGAACTATGCAGGTGCTGATGCTTGGCTGATTGCAAAACATCTGCAGCCCAACCACATCTTCACTTGTTTCATATCTGATTCCGTATATGATGTCAGGTATAGGGAAGTTTGGTGTGGCTTTTCAAAAATGACCAGGCAGGCCAAACAAGGAGCCCTAGAGGATTCCCTACTGTTGTTTTAACTGAAAAGGAGCAGATGGAAGAAGTACATTGATCCCCATGCCCACTAACAACTTACCTCCACACAGTTCATTGTACTAGGACCTAGAATTTAGGTACTTTCCCCCCAGTCCTCATTCAATTACTAAGGTTGAGAAGGGAGAGGAGTGCTTGGAGCAGCGCCCTATAGTAGGGTGTGCTGAGGGGCAGAGGAGGATTTCCCACTTCCTACCTATGCATTCCTTTTTCTATGATCCATACCCCTTCCTTCCACATTAAGTGTCAGAAGGATGGGCATGTCAGTGATGACTTTAGCACAGGTGTTGTTGGGTACCACAAATTGCTTCATCTATGACCATTGGTCATGCTTGTCTAAGCTGATGGGAGTTGAAGTCCAACAATATCTGGAGGAGCACAGGGTGGTTGTTCCTGCCTTATCACATGCCTTCAGATAAGTATGCATGTTTAAACTGAGTGCCCACAGAGTGGAGAAAATGTATAGGTTTAGGAACATTAACAAGTGGCCACAGCATCTGTTTTTCTCTGCGCCTCTCTTTGCTAAGAAAACCATAAGCTGTTCCATGGTTGTTGGATTTATTAGGCAGCCTTCCTGTAAATTGTCAAACAGACTCTCTGCACTGTGGACCAACTTTGTTTGTACAGGTTGTTTTTTAAGAGCTTCCTCAGTCTGTGGCTTCCTTTCTCCAGTAAGTGGGCGTAGGTCTTAAAACAGTAAACACAGCACTTGTAACTAGTAGCTTTTTCTGTACAGCGGCAGAAATAAGTCATATCTGGACCATGTGCCTTGAAGAATAGGGTCTCCTGCCTGTCTTTCCGCTTTGGGTTTTCCACAAGAATTAGGCTTTAACCGGATTCCAACAATGACGGCACAGTCCTGTCAAAGTGTTCTTAGAAATAAGACCTTTTAGCTCAGTTGAATTTACTCTCTAGTAGTAGCTAAAACACATTTATGAAACCTAATTTCTGGTGGGTTGTGTGTGTGTGTGTGTGTGTGTGTTTGTGTGTGTGTGTGTGTGTGTGTGTGAGAGAGAGAGAGAGAGAGAGAGAGAGAGAGAGAGAGAGATTGTGGTGCACATGTGGTTGCAGTGTGCATACTGTTGTGGTGTCTGCATGGTACCCACAATAGTTCCTCCAGGTGGCAAAAATGCCAGTGGGCCAGAAAAGGTTGGCCTAGCAAAATGTAAGTCAGTTTGTGTGGAGGTGTTGTTGTTTTGTTGTTGTGTGTGGGTATTTCTTTTTTTTTAAATTCACTTCCTTTCCATTGACCCCAGTTTATTGAAAATAAAACTGCAGATCTTATGCATGCTTACTTGGAAGTAATTTCATTGAAATCTGGGGACTTTACTTCAGTGGAGGCACAGGAGAGAATTTCCATTCAGTTTGCATATTAAATATGAATTTATCAAATTATCACATTATGAAACAACATGAGAACTGAAACACAACCATCCTTTGAAAATTACACTTATACACACTTTGCAATGCAGTTCTCTAATCAACAAAAGTTATTGTTTTTTAAATGCTTATATCAAGAGAAAATGTGCATCCAATTGCATATATCAGTGAACATAATATACAAAAACGTATTGTGTAAGGGAACACTGCTTGCAAAAATATGTTCATTAGTCAAAGCTGCAGACAAATATGAATTTATTAGGGGGAAAATCACACTAAATTGCTGCTGATTTTCATGAGATTTTAAATGAAAATTCACAAACTGATACAGAAATATGGAGAACGGCATTTAAGAAAACAAGAAACTGAAAGAACAGAAATAATAATAACCCACCCATCTGGCTGGGTTTCCCCAGCCACTCTGGGCAGCTCCCAATAGAATATTAAAAACACGATAAAACATCAAACATTAAAAACTTCCCTAAACAGGGCTGCCTTCAGATGTCTTCTAAAAGTCAGATAGTTGTTTATGTCCTTGACATCTGATTTGAGGGCATTCCACAGGGCGGGCGCCACCACCTAGAAGGCCCTCTGCCTAGTTTGGCAGATCCTTCCTTCTCTCATTCAGAGTAAATATGGATGGGCTTGTGCTACTGTTGGCTAGAATGTGGGGCCAGCTGAGACAGCAATGGCTCAAGCGTTAATGAAATAATCCTCAAAAGTGTATTTCTAACATAACCCATAGCTATTAATCTGGTTTAATTGTTCAAATTCCACCTGGCTGGAAGTGGAGAAATAATGTAATTCAGAGCCTGGATAGCTCAGTTGGTTAGACCATGGTGCTGATAACACCAAGGTTGCAGGTTCGATCCCTGTATGGACCAGCTGCATATTCCTGCATTGCAGGGGGTTGGACTAGATGATCCTCAGGGTCCCTTCCAACTCTACAGTGCTATGCTATGATTCAGATTTTAGAAGGCAAAGCTCCTTACTCTTCCTGGAGATCTCATGTGTAGTTTTTAGGGAAGGGGCCCTTCTGATGGTGGACTCACATCAGCCTCAGCTTCCAATCTTAAATCCTACTCTTCCCATTTATGCAGCCATTTGGAATTTAAAAATAATCATCAAAACTTTTGTGCATATTTCTCCTAATATCCATATTTGTGCATGCTGTTTTGACTAATGTAAACTTTTTGCAAGTTATATAATGCAGTTTTGTTTGTTACTTTCATGAATATATTTTATGCACACTGTCACCTAAAACGCATTTTTGTAAATATTGTTTGGTTGGAGAATTGCATTGCAAACCTAGGAGAAGTGTGAATTTTGAAGGATGTCTGTGTTTTAGTTCTGATAATGTTTCGAAGAGTGCAGATTCAGATGATTCACCTTGAAATGCGAGCTGAATCAAATCTCTTCTCCGCACCTAGTGAAGGCTGCTTTAAGCAGCTGCGCATAATGTAGTCGTTCATTTAGGTCGTTACTCACTCTTTCCCAAGGTTTGGCATGGACTGCAACTTCTCCCTCCACTCTCCTTCCCAAAACCACACCCTTTAAGAAGTTTTATAAGCCAAGAAGGCAACTCCCTACTTTCACCAACTTTTATAATTGAAATTTGGACTGTGGTGGAGCCAGCCGAGAGAGGGGAGAGGGGATAATAAGGGATGGATATAAGATGCATTGGACAATAAATCTATGCCAAAAAGCATGGGGAAGTGCCCTCAGTCATTTTCACATTGAGAACAGATTCTGGTTAAGTTCAATTCTCCACATTTCCGCATCAGCTTGCAAAGAAAAACACCCAAAACTTCCTCATGAAAATTCACCAGCATTTTATCTGGTGCAAATTTATCCTAATATAAACTACCGTATTTTTCGCCCTATAGGACGCACTTTCCCCCTCCAAAAATGAAGGGGAAATGTGTGTGCG